TTGATGAAATGATTTGTTACAATCCAGCTTGCCGAAAACTTTAGCTCCATTCAACTGTGCCAATAACTGGTCAGTTGTAGGAAGAGGGTAGTTCTCTATTTTAACACTTTCATTTAGTTTAGTGTAATCACAACATAGCCTGACTTTTCCTGATGGCTTGAGAACAGCTACTATAGGAGCACACCAATCAGTAGGTTTGGTAACAGGTCTGATGATTCCTTGTTTCTGTAGAGATTTTAGTTCTTCTTCAACTTTATCTTTTAGTGGAAGAGGCAGCCTTCTAGGGCAGGTAAGGTTAAATGGCTTTGCATTGTCTTTCAACTCAATAGTATTCATTGCTTGTTTTTCGTAAGCCTTGGAAAAGACAAGCATACTTAAGTTTTGGGTCAAACTTAGCTTCTGACAATCCATTTACAACTTCCACCACTTTAAGTGCTTCAATGGCAGGTCTGCCTAACAGCGATTTTCTGAGTCCCTTGATAACGTATAAGTCTTGTTCTGACTTACAACTGTTCTTTTTCAGGGTTGCTGTGAATACACCGATTACATCTTGTTTTAACCCTCCCGGTCCATAGAGCTTCTCGTCAGTTTGTTTTAGCACTTTTGTGTCTCTAAATTTTTTGTCTGAGACTACAGACACATCAGCTCCTGTGTGTATATGAAATGTCATTTTCTGACTGTTGACTAATATCTCTATGTGCCAGTTATTCACCGAATTTATTTCGTGTATTGAACCCAGGATGGTTTTTGTGGTATTATCATCACAGTCTGATTCTTCTACTCGTCTCACTTCTTTTGTTCTGCGCTGTGAAGCATAATGTCCTATCTTTTTGCATTTGTTGCACTCTTCTCTTAATGCTGGACAATCTTGGTTATTTCTATGTGAATCATATCCACACCTTGTGCATTTCCTTTTCGAAGATTGTCGTTTTCTATCCTTTGGATATTGTGACCTCTTATCACTTGAAAACTGCTTCTTTTCTTCTGGAAACAATTTCTTTCTGTCTTTTGA